AATATTTCAGTCAAAAGTAATTGCATGGGTATTTTGGACATTTTCATGCAACTTTTTAGAGTAATCTAACAAAGGGGATCTACTTGCAACTATGTAAGAAAGTTCAGGGGAGGTTTCAACAATTTATCATTTTTTAAGTAATAGGATACCAACAACAGGGGCAAGAGGGCTAGAACGTAAGGCCTTGTTCGTTTCATGGATTTTAGTAGGGGGAAAGTTACTGACTCTCCTATGTCCTTTTTCAGGATTTTGGTGGGACCCATGGTAAATATATTTTCCCCGAGTATCACTTACCTGGGGAAATGTTACCCTTCTCCCACTTGGGAAAGTTAACTTTCTCGAGTGGAGAGTAAATGCTCAAAATATAATATGTCAAAAATACCCATTAATATAATCCCAAAAACATAGACTTGGGCCCAAGGGTAAAAATGACAAAACATAGAAAAATTAACCACTTACCCGAGAAAGTGGGTGAGGCAAAAGAACATGGGAAAGTTTAGAGGCCTCATTTACTTGGACAAATTTAACAAAAAAGAACATGGTTAAATGGCCTCTTTGTAAACGAACAAGGCCTAAAAGTTGAGATTGGGTATGTCATAAATGAAAGTTTGGGGGGCTGCATTCATAAAAAAAAAAAAAAAAAAAAAAAAGTTTGGGGGGGCTTACATCCTATGCATCCTTGGATTCACAAGAAGCATGTACATGCGAATGAAAAATGAACACATCATATTGATAAGTTAACATGAATTTAACGAAAATGCTCTGTTAAGGCTGGTTCAACTAACCACTAAAAGAGAAAAAAGTGAAACAATAAAATCCGACAATTCCTCCCTCCCTCATTTGAACTCCCCTCCCACCATCTCTTAACATGCTATGATCAAACCACTGATGACCAATAACTGAGTTTAGCATTAAGAATCAACCGGAGACTAGTGACCAGCAATAAAGTATTCTTCTTCTTTTTCTTCTTCTTCTTCTTCTTGTCATAGACTATGACGGAATGGAATATAGGATATTTAGGCAAAAAAAAAGAAAACTCAAATTCTAAAACAATGGAGACGGCCAAAATAGTACCATTCATCTTTTTAGCTGAGGTGATTCTTGACAGGAAGTTTCAGGTGCATTGCCAAGAATTATAACATTATAAAAAAGATGAGCAATAAGGAGAATGGTAGCAACCCAAGATGACACTTGCTGCTTGTATCACAATCAGTTAAAGAATACATGGATTCACAAGAGAAAGGAAAACCTAAGCATTGATCTTAGACAGACCTGGCGCTTCATATCACAATTTGTAGCTATCGTTGTCCTCCCTCATCTTCCCCATCAACCAAGATGGTGTCAAATTATCTAACAATTTATCAAGTTCTCAAATGCTTGTAGTAGTGCATTTCCAAGCCCTGATGGGAAGAATTATGGAGATTCCCAAAAGGAATAGAAAAAATGGTTTAGATTTCATGCCATCACGGTTATTGTCTTGTCAAAAGAAAAGGAAAAAGTGATTCAGAAATTACTATTGAGAGACAAGGGAAAGAAATCATGTACAGAGTTCTTTCATGTTAGGAAGTTGAGATAAGATTGAATTTGTTATCATATGATAAGGATGATATGGAAAGTTTTAATTGGGTTAGGATAGAGTTTAGATAGAGTTTGTTATGTTATGATAGAGTTTGAGATTGATTGAGATAGATTACATAGAGTCCTAGATAGAGTCTAAGAGTTTGAGTTTGAATAGGTTTAATCCGTTTTAGTTTATAAATATGATATAATTACTATATTCAAGAAATACAATTTACTTTCTCATTCTCTGTTATTCTAATATGGTATCAGAGCCCAAGGTCTGAACATAGAGGCCTTCCATCATGCTTCTTGTGTTTCCGGCGGGTGGCCAACATCTTAGTCACCTATTGGGTCTGCTCTCACAGTTTATTTTTTAGAGATTTTTTTGCTTTATATAATTCTTTTATGTTAAATTTTTTATTCCCTTAGATTTGGAATTTTATTTATATTATATATCTCCTAATCAGATAGCAACCATATCACATATGATTTCTCAATTTCCATTGACTGCTCTGTGTGTATCCAATTACGACATGGTTGTAACCAATTAGCAATAGATTATTCAGATTTCTTGGAAGATCTTCTATAACTGGGTTGATGATGGAATATATATATATATATATATATATATATATATATATATATATATATATATATATATGTGGTGAATTGAATAGGTGTGTTGCTTGGTGTCCACCCAACACCCGTGCCTTAATGCATTCTCCCAATAAGGTTGTCTTCTATTTTCCATGATAAGTTGCCACTACACTATTTCTTGTTCAGGCCTACCAATCTTGTGCAACCATCTTTCTATCCATCGAATGGCAGACCACCACCATCTCTTTGCAACTATTCACTTCAATCTACTCGTTTATTCCCTAATATGACTGTATCAAAGGAAATAGGTGGCGCTTGCTTTATAAATCAACCATGAAAGTACAGACCTGCATTTCCCTCATCGTGCCATCAAAATCAATTTTGTCTGCATTACCACCATCTGATGTAGACCACCTACTACTCTCAAAGCCATGAACAAGATCTACTTGATCGTTTGTGGCATTTACATACCACCATATTTTATAGAGAATCACAACACACCACATTCCAGCCATACAAGGGGCTACTCCCAAAATCCGGTTTTTGGAATTACTTGACTGTTCGATGATGTAGATGGTGACCCAACTTGCAACTTGACTGAACCAGTTAAACTAGTTTAGATTAGTTCAGATTGGTTTGGCGACATGGATTTGTTGCTCTTCTATTTGGCCCATGGAGGCCTATTTCAATTAAAAAACAACCCATTGAGGCATCTTTTATTTGGCCCAAGGTGGCCCTTTTTTGGTTTAGCTTATCAAGGCATTTCATTGAATCATTGAGGTCTTTATTGGTTGTTGTTGGCCCATTATGGCCCATTTCATATTGGCTCAAGAAGCCAGCCCATTGAGGTCATTTATTTGCCTATTTTCAGTTTCGCCCATGTTGGCCATTGACAATTATCACCATTAGCACATGAAGGCTTTTCTTAAAGAAATAACAGGTTTTCATCATCATGCAATCATCACAGTCGTAGTTTGTCACATTATCATCACAACAGGCTTGGAGATTTGGGCACATCATCACATTGTAAAATCTTTGGTCAAACACAAGACGATCTTTGATCCCCATGTGTTTGAGGGGGGCGTGTTAGGAAGTTAAGATAAGATTAAATTTATTATCATATGATAAGGATGATATAGAAAGTTTTAATTGGATTAGGTTAGAGTTTAAATAGAGTTTGGGATTGATTGAGATAGACTACATAGAGTCCTATATAGAGTCTAAGAGTTTGAGTTTGAATAAGTTTGATATGTTTTAGTCTATAAATATGACGCAATTACTATATTTAAGAAATGCAATTTGCTTTCTCCTTCTATGTTATTCTAATACTCCGAAGGTCTCTTCTATGTTGGTTCCTATGAAACAACTTGGATTTCTTGGTATCTCCTTTGGAGACGACAACTTCCCAACCCTTGGATTTGTCATCAGAGGCTTTTTTTTTTTTTTTTTTTTCTGAAGTAGTAGTTGAGGACCTCCTTATGATCCTGGAATTCCATCATTCTTCATTGTTTGGGCAAGGTTGTTGCTTTGTTTCCCAAGTGAGAGACAAGACTGATGATGTCGAGAACTTCTGTTGCAAGTTCTTCAAAACTAAACAAGCTAAAGCCATTTTTCAACTATGCTCGTTTCTTATGAAAGCCTTGCGTGTTCACATATATGTGGGTGGTTGTGCTTTGTGTGTAATAGATTTGAAAGAAATGGAAAGTGAGATTCAAGAGTCGATGGAAAACATAGAGCACATACTAACTAATGGATTTAAAGGAGAGAAAGAGAAGTATGAGAGCATAGTCGGTGGGAGAAGTATCTAAGAGCTTTTGGGATGACTAGAGCACTAGAAGAAGAAGAAGAAGAAGAGTTTATGGTCGATTGCTGATTGATGCCAAACGCCAAACATCAGTTGTGGTGACCGGTGGTCTAGTTACAATATTCTGAGAGGCAGTAGGACTTGGGAGGAGAGTTTGAATGAGAAAGGGAATGAAAGTATTGTTGGGTTTTATTGTATTTTGTCTTTTAGTGGTTGGTTCAATGAGTTGGACCATTGTTAATCGAACCTGCTAACTCCTATTAACTTAATAAGACAACATTTTCAAATTTCATTTGCACATTCACACTTCCCATGAACCTAAGGGTCCATAGAATTGAGCTCCTTCGTAAACGAACAAGACCTAAAAGCATGGTTTTTGAATTGCTGTTGATCTAGATGGTTGGATTGTTCGGCTTAGGAACCGTCCAAACAACCAGTTTTGTTTTACTCCAAAGCTAGTCACTGGCCAAAAACCATTGAATCGGTCAATTGGTTATTAACCTGGGCAGTTGAACCGTTGACCCATTCAACGGTTTTTGGCCATTTTTATTTTTAATTATTTTGTCAAAAGGGGCTGTCTATTCAAACTCAACGGTCAAACCACCAATCCAAAAACTAGTGGTCAAAATGGTTCTGGTTTTGGATCGTTTTTTAAAACATTGCCTAATAAGTTGAGTTGAGAATGGGTATTTGTCATAAACGAAAGTTTGGGGGCCTCAATATCACTACTTCCAAAGTACTAGGTGTTAGTCTAGTCTGTAAATTGATCCAATTGGATATGCTTCGTTGTATCGATGTGTGCCCCAAAATTGCATTGCTGATTGCTCCCCTTTAAGGCTTTAGCTAACGCACGTGGAGGGTGTTTTGATGATCATAAGCAAGATGAGGAGACGGCATCAATCAAAGATCTCTCTCCATCCATAAAGACACGTCAGAGCTTGTTCAAGCGGAGACGTCAACCTACGTCATTGTTATGCATCCAACGGCTTTTACTAATTTACTTGAAGAATGAAGAATCGTTTGGTAATAGAAACCGATCCACCAGAGACCATCACATCAACGTGTTGTAGCCTCTCTCTCTCTCTCCATTCCCCCAGCCTATCTCTCTCTCTCTGCGTGCGCTCTCTAGTGAGTGACCGTATCATTTAGTGAGACGCAGAGCTGCAATCTCTCAGTCTTTAGCCGGAAAAGAAGAAAAATTGAGTAGAGAAGACGAGACTCCATTGCTCGTCTATTAAGGTATCACTTTTCCTAATTTCTCTTTGCATCAAGGCTTTGGCTTCATTTGTAGGGTTTATAAATTCTTCTTTCTCTGAAACAAGCTTTATTTTGTTGTTTATATTCCTTCTGTAATCTTCTTTTTGGGGTTATGGATTTTATCCGGATTTCTTTTTGGGGTTATGGATTCCTTCTGTAATCTTTCTTTCCCTTAGTTCTATTTCTTCAGTATGGATTATCTTCCCTTTTCTGATGGCTCATCGTCAAAATCGCCTACCAAATGTAATTTTTTTTTTCGGGATATCAGATGGTGTTTTGCGTGTTTTCTGCCTCTTCTGAATAGTAGGGTCTCCAATGTGGAAAATGTTTAGGGTTTATGATAATGGATTTTGGGCGGTGGGTCTTTTTATTTTCGTTTTTTAGTCTTCCTTGCAGTGTGTGTTTCATCTGTGGCGAATGTGCTATAAAATTTCACGTCGTCCCCCCACCCCATCCCAACATACACACTGAAGAAAATAAATAATTAATGTAAATTTTAGCTGAGGTATACATAAATCTCTCTTTTTTCTTGTTTAATGTATACTTATATTGGAGAGCACTTGTTTCTGTAGATTTTGCCTGGACTAGACCATGTCTGGGAGGAAAATAATAGCAATTTGCCAGTCGGGTGGCGAGTTTGTCACCGGTAAAGATGGTTCCTTGTCGTACACCGGTGGTGATGCCCATGCTATAGATATTGATCACCAGACACGGTTTGATGATTTCAAGTCAGAAATAGCTGAAATGTGGAATTATAGCATTGGTACCATGTGTTTAAAGTACTTCCTCCCAGGAAACAGGAAAACTCTTATCACCATATCTAATGACAAGGACCTAAAACGCATGCTCAATTTTGTTGGGGATTCTGTCACTGTGGATATCTATGTCATGGCAGGAGAGAATGTTGCTCGTGATGTCTCAGTTATGCCGGCCAGTAGGTAGCTTTCTTTGAGTCCCCCCCTCATTGATCCATTATTCATGGTTTATCCGAGATATAACACTGGATCATGCAGGTCAAGCAGGACAACTTTGTCTGAAGCAGTCACTCCAGTTGATGCTCCTGTAGATGCTCCAATGGATACTGTTGTTGATGCCCCAACTGACATCAATATTGACACCCCAAATGATATCACTACTGATGCTGCTATTGTCATGTCCATTGCTACTCCTCCAGCAATTACTAGTGTTGACAGCAAGCATAATAAAGCTAAGAAACAATGGGAAAATGCTATCACTGGTGTAGACCAAAGATTTAGCAGTGTTCATGAATTTCGTGAAGCTCTGCGCAGATATTCCATTGCTCATGGGTTTGCTTACAAATATAAGAAGAATGACAGTCATCGTGTAACTGTCAAATGCAAAACAGAGGGATGTCCATGGCGGATACATGCATCAAGGTTGTCAACCACCCAGTTGATTTGCATTAAGAAAATGAACCCAACACACACATGTGAAGGAGAAGTTGCGACAACTGGGTATCAGGCAACTAGGAGCTGGGTTGCAAGTATTATAAAGGAGAAGCTGAAAGAGTCCCCAAATTACAAGCCAAAGGACATTGCAAATGACATTAGAAGGGAGTATGGGATTCAACTGAACTATTCTCAGGCTTGGCGTGGGAAAGAGATTGCAAGGGAGCAGCTTCAGGGTTCATACAAAGAGGCATACAGCCAGTTGCCATTCTTCTGTGAAAAGATTATGGAGACAAATCCTGGTAGTTTTGCAACATTTACTACTAAGGAAGATTCAAGCTTTCACCGTCTCTTTGTTGCATTCCATGCTTCGCTGTCTGGTTTCCAACAAGGGTGTCGCCCTCTCATTTTTCTTGATAGCACACCTTTGAACTCAAAATACCAAGGCACATTATTGGCTGCAACTGCAGCAGATGGGAATGATGGTGTTTTTCCAATTGCCTTTTCTGTAGTTGATGTGGAGTGTGACCACAACTGGCGTTGGTTCTTAGGACAATTGAAGACTGCAATCGCCACGTCTCGTTCCATAACATTTGTAGCAGATATGCAGAAGGGGTTAAAGCAATCAATAGCTGAAATCTTTGAGAATGCATATCATGGATACTGTCTTCGGTACCTTGCAGAGAAACTCAAGAGAGACTTGAAGGGACAATTTTCACATGAAGTGATGCGTCTCATGGTTGCAGATTTTTATTCTGCTGCTTATGCACCTAAACTTGAGGGATTCCAAAGGTGTGCTGAAAGCCTCAAAAGTATTTCTCTAGAGGCTTACAAGTGGCTTGTCGAAAGTGAGCCTGAACATTGGGCAAATGCGTTCTTTGGTGGTGCACGGTACAACCATATGACATCTAATTTTGGAGAAATGTTCTACAGTTGGGTTTCAGAGGCAAATGATTTGCCAATAACACAGATGGTTGATGTATTACGTGGTAAGATGATGGAGTTGATCTATACACGTCGGATGGAATCCAGTCAATGGTTGACCAGGTTGACTCCATTAATGGAAGAAAAGCTACAAAAAGAGACTATAAAAGCACATACCCTAGAAGTATTATTCTCACCTGGTAGCACATTTGAGGTCCGTGGTGACTCTGTAGATATTGTTGATATTGATCATTGGGACTGCACTTGCAAAGGATGGCAGATTAGTGGTTTGCCATGTTCCCATGCCATTGCTGTTTTTGAATGCATTGGAAGGAACCCATATGATTACTGCTCTAGATACTTCACAACTGAGAGTTATCGATTAACATATTCAGAATCTATACACCCAGTTCCAAGCATTGACAGGTTCTTGCTGAAAGATTCATCTAATGCAGCATTAACAGTAACCCCTCCTCCCACTCGTCGTCCACCAGGCCGTCCAAAGAATAAGCAGACAGGATTTCAGGAGGTAGTCAAACGACAACTCCAATGTAGTAGGTGCAAGGGTATTGGGCATAATAAGACAACATGCAAGATGTCCTCGTAGGGATGTCGGACTATGTAAGTGTATGCCTTGTATTTTCTATATTGTTCTTAATCTACTTAAGCTTTCTGTATAGATGTATCTATCTGCCAATTAACAATGTGAATTAACTTAGACTACATATACTTTTTTCCTGTTGGACCTATATCTAATTATAGTATTATTTTTGAATATCCTCCTAGAGATTATTTATTTATTTGTTTTGATCAATAACTCAACAATTTATTAATTAAGAAAGAAGGATGGTACAATACAATAAATACAGTCAGACAGTGAGAGATAAAATCTCTTATCTCTCCCCCATACAATCAGATCCCTTACAGTTGTGCCCATAATAAAGAATCCCTCTCCACTCCTTGTTTAGCTAAGGTATCTGCTACAGAATTGGCAGATCTCTTAACCCACCCAACCACTATTTCCATTATCTCTGGTTAACCACCTGATCTTCTTCCTTTCATTGTTGAAATGCCAAAGATTTGACCCCCCATCTTGTAACCAGCTTATCACCAGTCTGGAATCTCCTTCCACAGATAGCTTTTGAATGTTCATTAGCTTTGCCTTTTGAATGCCTTCCAGTATTGCTAACACTTCTGCTCTCAGGGAGTCTCTCCAACTGGCCCCCGAAAAAATAGCAATGAAATTACCTTCCTCATCTCTGAAAATACCTCCAATGCCTGAAGGTCCAAGATTCTCCAAGCTGCTACCACCAAAATTAAGCTTGATAAACCCTCTATCCAGGATTCCGGGGGTGACCAAGTATGATTGATAATTGGCTTATGGACCATAGAAAGTGCTACTTCCTTCCAACTTCTTAATATATCATCTGCTGACATGTGGGAGAAGGCTGCCAAGGACTTCAACCAGTGCACTACTTTAACCTTTATTGTTTCAAAGATATCACTTTTAACTCTTTCTTTCTCTGAAAAGATTCTAGCATTTCTTTCCTCCCAAACAGTCCAGATAACAATAGCTCTAATGCAGTTCCACATTAACCTCCCTTTCTTCGTTGGCCCTTAAAAGGTAGTGTGGCAAATAAGCTTTGAACATCTGCTGGAAGATTCTACCTGCACCCAAAAAGAAAAAGACACCAATCCCAAATAAAAGTAGTGAAGGAACAAGAGATAAAAAAGTGAAAGCAATTCTCACCATCAGCCTTACATAATACACACCAATGAGGAGATAACGCCAAATTGGCTGCTTTCTTTGGAGTAGATCAAGAGTATTGATCTTCCCATAAGCAACTTCCCAACAAAAGGCAGCAATCCTAGGTGGAATAACTTTGCACCACACCTCTTTCGTTGGAAACGGAGGCAGACCACTATTGGAAGGTTGTATTAGAGTTTTAAAGAAAGAAGCACAAGAGAAGGACCCTGACGGGGTGCAAGTCCAAACTCGACTATCAGGCTTTGAAGGTTCAATGATAACTCCTTCCAATAACTGAAGGAGGCTAAGGAGACACTAAAGTTCTGAGTCTCAGACACCCCTCCGGAAACCCTAGTCCCATTAACCCTATTAATCGAAGGTGGAGATTGGGCAATAAAATTAGAAATTGGCTCATTTTTAAAGCTTGAGAGGTTTAAGAGGGAGGGGAACTGGTTCTTTATGGGAGAGTCTCCTAGCCAAATGTGTTCCCAAAATTTAACATACCACTACAAAGGTTGTATCTGATGAAGGAAGTGTTGGACAGTGTATGCCCTTAGTTCCAATAAGAATGATGTACATTATGACATTTAATGAATAAAGTACATATTTGATTCATGTTATTATGGTATGTTTCTGTGTAATACCCTTAAGCTGGACAGATATGAGACTCGTGTTAGTTTAGAATCTTCATAGCTGTTGGATAGATTTGGGGAGATTTATCCTGCCAAAACTGACACTGATGTGCTGCCAAGTTGGTTGGGGTGGTTTGTCTCAGCTGCCATGGTGAGACCTGAGGTACATGCAATGTGAGTTTTCTTGAAACCTCGAACCGGACCAGAATTTCAGTATTGCCCTAGACCTTGGAGATAGATGGGCAAAACTGGAATGTTACACCTGACCCCTAGACTCGCTTATGATACTACACTAGGTGTTGGATTGGACTGTCTTTGATATGCCAATCAGTGAGATCCTTAGAGGGGGTCAAAACCTGAGTATGTTGGGATAGTTCGAGAATTCATCTGAGTGGGTGATCATAGTGACATGATCAACCCCTTTGTCGGACAAAGTGAATGATCGAGGATTTACTCTCTCTGATGGAAACCAAAACTGCCGGCAGTTGATTTCAACTGTTGAAATTTGTTTTCCAAAATATATTTATATAGAGATTTACATATATACATTATGGTTTCAAAATGTTTGCAAAAGGCTTTAATTCCCGGGATCCATGTGAGAAGAGAGTGCAACACTGTACCTTGCAGTCGAGGGAGAGGTCCTCTCTTGTCGGGCAGTATTTGATCATTATGGGCTGAGAGGTTAAGTGTAAGACCATTGAGGGTAATACCTGATGGGTTAATCTTGCATTTGCCCACAGTCCTTGGGTTTTTATAAGGTGACTTGACACAGGGACCATTTAGTGTAAATGTTGGGCCCATTAAGAGCCCATGGTGATGGACTCAGGGGTTCACTGTCTCCTACAGTGAATTCGGCCAGGCCTTGTAACAGAGGCTAGACTGAACCCATGTGGTTGATATGTAGATCAATGTTTGGGTCCCACGCCATACAGGGATAACCAATTGGGCAGCAGTTAGGTGGCTAAGTGAGTAGATGGACTTAATGGGCCTAAAGCCCAATTCGAATTGGCTTAATGAGATTAGAAATGGCGGTTCTGGGATTTAGGTCAACAGATAGGATAAGGGATTATTATCCCTATCCACTCAAAGAGTCCAGATCCAAATAAAGATTTGGATCAGGAAACTTCTAATTAGGTTAGGAGGGTTGATCTTTATCTGTAGATAAGATAAGGGATTATCCTTATCTCTTAAAGAGAGTTCAAATCCGAATACAAGATTTGGATTAGGAAACTCCTAATGGGATTAAGAGAACATCTCTTTAAGGCTATAAATAGGAGAGCAGGGCGAAAACTCAGTATGCACAACATAAATCATCCGAGTGACTGCTGATTTCCAGAGAGAGACAACATAGTTTGACTGCACTGTCTCCTTTCCTGCTTTTGCCGCCATACCAGTTCGATCTCCACCTGTGGGAGCGATCAAGAAGAGTTCTTGATATTACCTTTTGGTAGAAAAGGTAATCTGAAGTCGTGCTCACTAGCCCTCCATTAGATTCTTGCTGAAGAATTCGGTTCTTGCCTGAAGAACCATCATTGTGATTCTGCTTCATCCTGCACCGTGTCATCTTCGGTGGAAGCAGTCTTTGGATCCATCCTTGGGCGTGAACACCTTCATTGGAGGTTATTACTAATTCGTATCAGGTATAACCCTCCACTCCCTTTTGGTTTCAGATCTGGTCTGGTTTGGGTTCAAGATTGATCATTGAAAATGCAGTTTTCTAAAATAGGGAATGTGATTCCCACATGGGAGAGAGGAATTTTTGAAATTTCGCCCAACCTTCCTGCAGGGTTTGGCCATCCATATGATGGATCTCTCATCCCGTCCCTTCAGTGGTATCAGAGCCCAGGTTCAAATCTTGAACCAAAATTAACCAGATCTGGAACTGCGCAAATGGCAGAAGGCGTTCTTCCCGATTTGCGCATATTAGCGATTTATGGGAAATCTGTTCCCAGATTTTGGGCGATTGATCTGAAATTAAATATTTATGAATCTGAATTATATTTAGAATTGTTCTACATATTTTTCTTGATTTTTGGGCTGTTTGTACTATGGAGATCGAAATCTTGAATGGCGCAAGAAATTTGTGCGTCTGCTGTTCTTTTTTATTCTTGGTCTGTAATTATTTTTTTTTTAAATTTTAGACGGAATGTATAGGAATTCAATTTTGATGTAATATTAATAGAAATTAGGTTTTCTATTTTATTCCATTCAAAGTTGAAGTAGAAAGCGCAAGGAGATTTTCGCAGATCAGGGTTCGGCTATCTGCGATTTGCAGTTTTGGAAACTGCAWGCTGCGATCTGACTTTTGTTTTGCAGGGTAGCAGTCCTACGAACAGCCCTCCTACTGATTCTTGAATGTCTTGTTTCAGTAATTTATATTCAGAATATGTTTTTGAATTAAATCTTGAATTGAAAATCAAACCCTAGACCCATTCGAACCAGATTGGATCAAACTGGTTGGACCGAATCTGTGGTACGATGGGGGCTGTTTTCGGCCCTAATTTTCACTCATGGGTCCAAGAGTTGATGGTTAATTGCAAGATGCAATTCAGCCCACACCTGTAAAACCCAGTTTTAATATGTTAAAACTGCTTTAGCCCATTTCAGCATCAAAGCTATATGGGCCGAACTGCTATTTGCAATTCAACCCATATACCTAGATGATATTAATCAGTAATATTATGAATTTTTTATGGGCTTTAATCATGGGTTTTACAGTTATTTAATTGATTGGATCAATTATGATTTTCCTGCATGTGATGTATAGATGTGTGATGTGCAACGTTCATGGGCCATAAGTACTTGGCCCATGTTGATACGATAGTGGCTCTTGCGCACATCATTGCCATGATGTCCTTAAGATCATTGGATCTCCCTTCGTGGTGGGCCCCACATCAGCTTCCTCCTCAAGAGGAACTATGCGGAACCTTAGCCGTTCAGGGCCCATCTAAATCTGGCTTTATGAAAGTCAGTGGGAGCCACTTTGGTTTGACCTAAATTAAACTATGGCGTAATATTTCGTTCCCTCCACTGAAATACGAGTGTATGTGATAGGGAGATTCATATGATGAACTCTCTAAAGTCCTTTCATCATTAGCATGAAGATGGGTCCTTCAGTAATGAGGAAACACACCATAAAATTGGGCTATCCATTTGCTATTGGATCTGTTGGATTGTTTCATAAGATGATAGGGGCGTCATAGACTGATGTGGAAGGGGCCTATTCTAAAATGGAAGACTCT